CACCCTGTGGGAGGAGCTGCTGCCCAGGCCCTGAGCTCTGGGGACCTGGCAGGGAGGGGGATCTGCCTCCAGCCCACCAGGCTCCAGCTGCAGCAGAGACTCCCGCCCCGGGAGACCTTCACCTTCACTATAGAACTAACCGGGGCAGCTTCTGAAGCCCAGACAGGTGGGCAGGGTCGGGGCTCTGAGCACCTGCCACCCTTACACGGCAAACTTAGGTGTGCCCCCAAGGTTCACTGGCTCCATCTGGGGTTTCCACTTTCCCTCTCCCGCAGCATGGCCCGACCAGGCCAGGACCCCATCCCCTAAACACACACACACACACACACACACACACACACACACACACACACACACACACACACACACACACACACACACACACACACACAGCCAGACTGAGACTACAAGGCTCATCCAGCCACTGCTGGTCTAGTCTCCATCTGCCAGAGGCCATCTGCCCCTGTCAGGGTGGGCGTGGTCTATAATGCTACCAGGCAGCAGCAGGAGGTGGTGGCACCCCTCAGTCTCCACGTGCCAGATGGACCCTGCATCTCCCCATCTACCACTCCACCTCAAGAGCCCTCTCTGAGGGAGGGACACTTGCCCTCTGACCCCCTGGGATCAAATTAGCTAGAGATGCAAGACGGCCCCTCATTCCCTAGCCCCTGCCCGTCCTGAGATGGCTGTCCCAGTCCCCTGGCAATCCACAGCTGACCACGGGGGGCCACAGGCTCCAGAGCTAGAGAGGGCCCTGCAAAGCTCCTCCCATCTTTACGCAGGAAAGTAAGTGCTGTCACCTCCAAAGGGACTGTCCCCAACGCTCTGCTCAGCCTGGCTCCAACCCCCTCCTCTCAACCCCTCTGTCACTGGCCTCAGTGTCGCTGAGCAGCTGAGGAGAGAAGATGGGGAAATTTTCAGTGCTCTCGGGACATGTTGTTTCTGCTGTAGAAGCTGGTTTTTTGGCTTGGAAAGGTTTTTTTTTTCCACCCAGTAATGTGAAAACATGAAACCTGAAACCAACCCCCCAACATTTGCCACCGCAGAGAGAAGACTTTGGGGGAACTAGGAGAGAGCTGTAAATGAGTCAGGCTGATTCAGGGCAGGGGGGGCTGCCCAGCTGCCTCCGGGGCACCAGAGTTTCATTAACACTTATGGTCTGGGCTTGACTGTCAGGTAACAGATGACAGGAGAGGAAAGGACTTCCTTCCCACCCTCAACCCCAAACACAGCAGTCCCCAGATAAACTCCTCTTGCCGAGAAACAGCTAGGTCCTTGGCTCTGTCTTGCACCAGCCTTTACTACCACCCTCGCAGCACCACTGCCCCGACACCAGCCAGTCTGCTCCCCTCGCACAAGAAAGGAAACGGCCATGGCCATTACCAGGGCCATCGAGGGATGCAGCCAAGACTGGGTAGGGAGAACTAGACACCAACTCCAGTTAGGAGAGATACAGATTAGACAGCACTTCCCCAAAGTAATGATGGATTCAGGAATAAGGAACAGGGAGATTCCTTATAGGGAGTCTGAAGAAGCAGGAGAGATTTTTTTTCCCCCTGACTGGAGACGTTAGGAAAGGAGGGCAAGCAGAAGCATGAACTGGGCAGCCTCCTGAACCTCCTAACTCTACTCGCTGGACTTGGGAAAGGAGGCTCTGCCTCTCGGCGTTGCGTAGCTGCTCTGGGCTCCTCCCCTACACTTTCTGCTGAGACAGACCCAAGGGAGCTGGGTGGGAGCCCTGCCAGCAGGGAGGCCCCATGACCTGGCTAGCAAAAGAGAGCGCGCCCTCTGACCCCAGGAAGCAGCTGCACAAGAAACCTGCTGACACAGCCCCAGGATGGTATCTCAGGTCCCCCATCTCCTCTGCTCACCTGGGGCTTCGTCCCACCCTTCCCCAACACCCCGTGCACAAGGCGGCTCTGTGAACCGACGCTGGGAGAACTTGAGGAGGAAGGGAGGCCGACACCATTCACCCACTCGCCTGTCTCAAGTCCCAACAGGCCCCAGCCTCACCGGCCTCCACAGGTAGGCAGGGCGAGTCTGCATCTGCTGGCTGCCTCCCCTGCTGGAGGCCTTGCAGCTCTTAATTGTTCGCTGCCCCACAGACAGCAGCGTGGGGAGACAGCAAGCCGTAAACAGACACTCAAAACTGCACGTGGGGAGACCCCACCATGTCTTAGTGGAACCACCCTCTGGACGACTTGGGACTCCAACACAGGCTTCCTCCATGGTCCTCACTAGAAACGTGAAGGGAAAGCCCTTTCCTGCCCAGTCCTTTGGGGGTCACACTTATCTCATGCTAGGGGAGCAGGGATGGAGAAAATCTTTTTTCACAAGAGCTCTACCATGTGGCATTAAATCCAATAAACAAATGCATACTAAGCACCTATGGAGTACTGGGCACTTTCAACAGCAGCACCCTGGGAGCTAACCCCAGTGAAGGGGCAGCAGCTCCACCTACTGGGCCCTTTCCCACCCTGTCGCCAGGAATCAGTTCAGTAAAAGATTTTATTCAAAAATAAGGGCTTCCCTGGTGGCACAGTGGCTAAGAATCTGCCCGCCAATGCAGGGGACACAGGTTCAAGCCCTGGTCTGGGGAGATCCCACATGCCACGGAGCAGCTAAGCCCATGCGCCGCCAACTACTGAGCCTGCGCCCTAGAGTCAGCGAGCCACAGCTACTGAGCCCACACGCCTACAGCCCGTGCTCCACAAACAAGACAAGCCACCGCAATGAGTAGCCCCCGCTCACTGCAACTAGAGAAAGCCCATGCTCGGCAACAAAGACCCAACACAGCCATAAATAAAATTAATTAATTAAAAAATATATATACAGTAAGGCCTAACACTCTCCTGCTTCAATCAGAAGGGCCCTAACAGGTGGTAGTGGACTAAGCCAGGCTGGTTGGGTCTCTGCTGGAGAGACCTGGGGCTTCCATGTCACGCGTGGAGCTGCTGCTTTGGAGACTTGGATTGTACAAACCTGAACGACACGTGTCCTGCCAAGAAAAATGTTCTCCACCTCTGCCAGTTGCCACATTCCCCCTGGCACAGCCACAGCAGGGTGCCACCAAGAGCCCAAAGCACCCCTGGACCTGGAGGGGTGGATCCAAAAGAAACAACAGTCTCTTTCCCAAGCAAGGAGCCGGAAGTCTGAGGTTCCAATGGGCACTAAAACGTCAAAGCCCTTGGCCTATTTTCAGGACCCATGAGGCTGGAGCCTCTCAGGTTAAACACAGGGGCAGCCAATCTCTTCCCTCAGAATCCTCGGGCCTCGGAGACAGCCTTCAGTTTAAGAGCAGCTCAGGACACCTAGCTTTATTCCCTTACAGTGAGTGCTCTGATCACTTCTACCCTGGAACTTTGTACTGAGAGAAGATGGACCTTCCTGCTCCATTTGGCCTGTACACCTACATAGCATTTGAGGACTTGTGGGTGTGTATTCTGCGTACATGAAACCCTAGTGGTGTGTTCGTGTACACACCTGTGTTTATGAAGCCTTGGGCATCTACTCCCCTGAGAGCCTAGAAAGTGTGTGCACCTTTGTGTGGGCGTGCGCTTCACCAGAAGGCCTTTAGGTATACCTCCACCCTCCTCCCACCTTCCTCCCCGGTGGGGGCAAGGCAGCCACAGCAGCAGCATCAAGCAAGCTATTCTGTCCCAGGAACAGACTGCCGCTTGATCTGCTTGCTCCTCTGTCCAACACCCATGGGATGAGTCCCTTTCCTGACTCAGGTCTCAAGTCTCCAGACGCCTCTGTCATAAGACCATCAACATTTACTTAGCACAGCACCTTCCCAGACTGGGAAGCACTACCTTCCTGAAGGCAAAAGCTGCTAGCTTCTAGTCCCCTGGCCCTTCTTCCTGCTTTCCAGGGCTCCCAGATCTGAATCCCACTGAGCACACCGTTAGGGAACAGGCTTTCATTTCAGGCTTTGTATAAGAACATAATAGTCACAGGAACTTATTAAGCTTTAGTAACTTTTCTTTTTAAATACCCGCAGATGGGTGCTCTTCCCCCTCCAGGGGGTGATGTGTAAGCAAGCCTCCCAGAATCCTGCTCCTCACACATCTGCTCTAAGCACGCTCAGCCCTGTCCTGACTGGCCTCGGCCTATCATCCCTGTGTGGGCAGGTAAGGGAAGGGTGAGACTCTGGGAGGTCTATGTGTCTGCCGCACACACGCTGGGATATCTATTTCCAGGGTGAAGGCCTGTACCAAGCCATTTATAGCCTTGGAATCAAGAGCTGGCCAGGAGGGCAGGAACAGAGAGCCAGGTCTGTTCTGATCTGAGCTTCATCAATAAAGAAGAGGTGCCCCTTTGAGTTCCTAATTCCAAGGGTTTCTATCTGCAGCTGTAAAGTGTAAAAGAAAAAAAGTCCTTCCTGGCTAACTTATGCAGCCACCTGAATATCCAATAAATTAATAATGAATGGGGGGTAAAATCAGTCTATCCACTGGTTAAAACATTATGCAAACATTAGAAATATTTACTTTAATTTTTATTATGAGATAAATTACTTTTAAAAATTTAATGATGTAACAAAATGGAAAAGAGCTAATGATTTAATAGTAAGTGAAAAAAGTAGGCCATAAAGGTGTTTAATTACAACTACAAAACACAAAAACCAGTGCCAACCTCTACAACATGGAGGAAATCAACCAGAATGCTCTCGATAGTCATTCACCTCCATTTCCCTAACCTCTAGCATAGTTAACTATGCAACAGCTATCTGTCGTTCTTGAATAAGTATTGGGATTAGAGATGAACTCACTTGTTTTCCAAATTTGCTATGTAAAAGATTATGTAACTTTTATAATGAAAAAAAATGAAAGTATATAAAAATAAGACTGATTTCAGGGAATTCCTTGGTGGTCCAGTGACTGGGACCTGGCGCTTTCACTGCCTCGGGCCTGGGTTTGATCCCTGGTCAGGGACCTGGGATCTTTCAGCCTTCACGCAGCAGCCAAAAAACAAAAAAGACTGATTTCAACAATTCAACAACCCACAAACAATTTAGACGGGGGAAGTGGCTTTAACACTGTTCACATCAAATGTCAGATCTGTAATAAATTATGGTTATAAACAGGAAAACCAAGTCACTTAGACCAGTGGAATCTGAAGTTACTGGAAAAAAAAAACAAACTCTTCCACGTGGAATGACAGGCTTATCTTTAACACTTCAACGTTTTCGACGACTCTCAAATTTGTAGATAGCTGGGGAGTTGACTGTTTCTTTCTTCACCTTCACCTTCTGAGTTTTATCCTACAAAAGAGTAAAAAGTTACCAGTAAATAGTAGGAGAGGTCTGTGTAAAACAGCAAGTTTAATAAACTACCTATTAGAAAGTCCCTAATTCAGCCCGTCTCAATGTTCAAGAGAGACAAAGCCCTTTGTCCTAAGGCATCCCCGATGCGATGAGTCAAGTTCTCCCCGGGCATCTATAATGAGGCTGGCTGTGCAGAAGTTCTTGTGAAAATTGAGAAGAAAGGTACTTAAATCATTATCTTGTAGGGCTTCTTCTCTTACGGAACCCAAGTTGAGAAAGGCAGACCAAAATGATCTGCAAAGCTGAAAAACTTGACATTTAAAGGAATGATAATATGAAAGGGGCATCTTATATTCCTTAGCTCTTCTATTTAACTACACAATGTTGTCTATTTTTAAACACCAGTGAGTGACACGCACTGTTTTATTAACCTGTTTAAATGTTACAGATAGCTGCTCATAAGCTATAAAGTTCATATGCCACCCGATCCTACCCTTTGCTGTTCCAAAGCACTGACTAATAAGCAAGCCCCTTATTACCTTCTTAATCAAGGAACATTTCAACACTGTCAGAGTAACAGACACTGGCTCAAACCACTGTCCCTGAGGAGCAGACATTTTCACTGGGGTTGGTTTACACACAGCTGAAATCCAGTCTCAGTTTAGAACTTTACAAGGAAAAAAATAAAATAAAATAAAATGAAGGCCTAAGGCTCTCTCTCCTCACCAGAAGATCTTTGCGAGTCTGAATTTTCTGTGCAATAACAAACAATTTCTTCTCGCGCTCAATCCGCTGTGTCAGGCAGTTATACTGCTTTTGCCTCTCTTTCGCTATTTGCTGCAGAAGAAACACACATTTTCAGTAAAACAATTAACAGGATAAAAATGAGTAAGAAACTGTTTCTTAATCCACTTGGGCCCGAACGCATAAATGGTTTCATCAATTCCCTCCTTACCCCAGAATCAACGTAACAAGAGACTCTGAAGCTGGCCATTTTAGGAACACCACATTCCAGAGCTCCATGGAATCTTGGAGACTTGCCTATGGACACAAGGCTCACCTGGAGCAGAATCAGGACTGCGCCTCGAGTCTCACAGATCCCAGGAATCTTTCCACTACTACACTGAGCTGTCTGAGCGTCCCAGTTACCTAACGTGTAGGAATGAACCAGTGCTGGAAACCCTACACAATGAGTAGAGAAGGGCCACCGGGCAGTGTGCTGGTGTCAGAACTGTGGAACTCAGAGAGCAGAAGGACTCTGTCAGTGGAAGCTGACCTGAAAATTCTCACTGCTGATGACCCGTCAAAGACCAATGGTCCTTCAACGTGGGGGGATCACAGACCTCTGAGAAACTGATGAAAGCTTTGGATCCTTTCTTGACATAAATGTATATATGTATTTGTACAAATTCATACAAATGTATATACCCAGTCACACAAAATTTCAAGGTGGGAAGAAGGTGTTCATAGACTTCCTAAAGCCCATTCATGGATTGCTCACCCCCTCCAAGTTACAGACTAAAGATTCCCTTGCAAGCCACCCACCAGCAGACTCTTAATAAAAATAATTTTGCTTTAAACAAGACAGTCAAAAGAAACAACACTAGACAAAACGGGCAATCCAAACCTTCCCAACTTTTCAAAAGGTAAGATGGTGAACTATTCTACACAGGACTTTGGAACACCAATCTCTTTAGGAACTACTGCAATACTTGATTAGTGTCAGCGACACAGCTAATTGAAAATACAACTACATGACAAAGAGGGTTATCACTAGAACACCAGTCAGCCGGCTCCTCGGCTGGAAGTGTTATCTACACAGAGGGGAATATTACTGGGCCTTGGATTTAAACAATTCACCAATTCTAGCATAGTCTCACAGCAGTGGTTTCAGACAGCTTTTGTTTTCACTTTATTGCACAGACTGTTGATTTATGGGATTACCCAATATAATCAAACTAATTAGGGGTATTTATATTACTAAAGCAAGTTTAGCTGCCTCTGAGCTAGAGAAGCTGCTGTGAAATCAAACAAAGCTGATGCAGTGTAAATGATTCAAATCAAAACAGAACAGCTGTCTGCTTGAAACACATTGACAGCATTTTTTTAAATGAATCAGTCAGAAGTGAGAGTTCAACTCCAGAAGACTTGGAGAAAAAGCATGTCTTCTGCACAAACCCAGTTACAGTGATGGAAAGCACCGTAAGGACAAGTCATTACAAAATTTGGGGTACAAATGCAGAACATGAAAGACCTTTTGATATGCATATTCACTGTTAAAGGTTTAATATCAAAGTATACCAAATCCCTTCATCTTCAGTGTCCCCTCCTTTCTCTGCCTTTTAAAACTGTTGGCACCTGTTACAAGCATTGAAAGCACAAAGCCCAGGGTCAGAGGTAGGATTCAAATGCAGACCTAGGGAATTCTCTGGCTGTCCAATGGTTAGGACTCGGTGCTTTGCCGGGGCCCGGGTTCAATCCGTGGTCAGGAAACTAAGATCCCGCAAGCCTCGCAGCATGGCCAAAAAAACCCCCCAAAAAACAAAAACAAACGCAGACCTAAAGGCCAGAGAGTAAGCTCCTGACCACTATGCTACACGTCCTGTAATCTTAGAAACTAAGGAACCCTTCTCCACTTCCATTCCCATCACCAAATCCTCCTTCCACTTCTCTAAGAGAACTTAGTAAGTTTTCCAAAAATAATCATCTTAAATGCAGTAGGGAGAAAAAAAAAAAAGAACCTAGATTCCCATAAACTCAGACCTGAAGAAAAATGGAGAAAATTACCTTAAGTTGAGTCTGATTGTTAACTCCTTTCACTTTCTCCTTCTGCAAGGTCTCTATCGTAGGTCTGTTAAAGACTCTGTCGACTAGTTCTGGGGCTGTTCGCAGGTGAGTTGCAATATCAAACTGTTCGACTAAAAGTCAAGACAATCCTTAAGGCACTGTCTCTAACACCAAACAACACAGACCAATATGCTAGACTGTCCCAGAAACTTTCAAACATTTCATACCTTCCTTTTTGGTGTCAAAAAAAAACACATGCTTCTTCTGTTGCTTCCCCTGGAAATCCAGCAGATGGAGCTCTGATTTTAGTCTTTCAATTTTCTAGGATACAGAATATGGTCTCATTTTATATTGGGTTCTTCTAGGGTGTCAGAAATGAATTTGCACAAGTTTAGACCATTCCACATCATTATCACCAGCCAGCAAAGAACCTGCTTCATTCTTTTAAAAGAAAGGACCACTAACATTTATCAAGCACCAACCACATGTCAGGTAGGGGGCTAGCTAGGCACTACACAAAACTCATTTAAGGCTTACAACAATCCTATGAGATAGAAATGTGGAAACAGCCCCAGGGAAGTTAATTTGCCCATAATCATGGGGCTAATGAATGGCAGAGCCAGAGTTTAAACCTAAGTCTGTCTCAAACTTGACCTCTTTCCACTCCACCATGCTGACTATACTTTTAAACCATTATCATAATTAAGTGTACTTTAAGATTGGAAATGCCAGAAGAAATCAACTTACAACTCGAGATCAATGGATTTCTATTTCTCTTCTTAACCAACAAAAACATATCAGAATAGAGTTTTAGTTGTTACCTTAGCTTCTGCAACCCTTTTCATTTCTATATATTTGACATCCTGAGTTCTCATCAGTTTCAGCTGTTCTGGAGTTACTTCTTCCTTAGTCTCCTTAATAACATGAACTCCATCCTAAAATGCAAATTTAAAAGATACGTTTCCTATTAGATTAAAATCATTAATAAGTTGTTGGCATAGTTCGTGGCTGGAACAACGACAACCAAAGGCTACATACAACAGCAACACAATGCACCAGGCCCCCAAGACACACATTCAATTCAACACCTCCAATCACCCTCTCAGAATAGCTCCAGGCATCAGACAACTGCAAACTGCATGCTGCTCATGAAGGGGCAGCTTTGCCTTTTGCATAATGACCAGGAGCACCTGACCAACTGGAGAAGAGCTAAATAAAAGCCCAGGGTCCTAGCTATCCATCTCCTCCCTCATCCTTATTTTCCCTGTTGAGTTGGAGCTCAACACACCAACTGAGGGACTGCCCTGGCAGTCCAGTGGTTAAGACTCTGTGCTTCCACTGCGGGGGGGCATGGGTTCAATCCCTGGTTAGGGTACTAAGATCCCACATGCCATACGGCATTGCAGGGAAAAAAAAAACCCAACTGATCCATTAGGCACCCACCTGGAGTTTAACCCGAGTCATTTTATAGTAGAATTCATCTGGATTTTTTTCAAGAGCCTTCTTCCGGAGAGCTCTAAGGTATTTTTGCTTTTTCCGGTAGTCACTGAAAAGCAGGTTAAACAAGGTTCATAGCAAAAAAGAAAAAAACAACAACACAACAAGCAAACTTTACAAGCATCTAATGATACATACAAAATGAAACTCAAAAAAGCCAAAGGAGTGACTACATTCGACCCACACTCCAATGTCACACTCCAGTGTCAGATGTTGAGCTCATCTCTTTGTGGGTCCTCTCCTATCCCTGTTCTACCTGAAATTAACAGTCCCCATTTCACATAAGTTTTACTGCCATCTACATCATTACAGGGAGAGACCCAACAAAGCACAGATTACAACTCCTCAGACGGGGTTCTCATGCAAGCTTGGGCACCAAGTGACCAAATAAGATTCAGAAACTACACGTTGTAGTATAGCATAGTGACTAGAATCGTGGACTCTGGAGCCAGACTGTCTGGGTTCAAATCTTGGCTCCACCACTTCTGGCTGAGTAATCTTGGATAAGTTAGTTAACCACTCTGCATCCCAATTTAATCTGTGAAATGGGTGTGATAATAACAGCATCCCCAAAGATTGCTGGAATAAATGCATGTAAAAATGGTAACTCTCTTAGGACACTGCCTGGCCTAATAATAGCACGCAGTTATTATTATTTGCCTGAAAAACTCTGGGACCCAGAGCAATCCACTTAATCCATCACCAGCTGCTCCGGGGGCATAAAAAGGACCTCAGCTGACATGCGTGGCTAACACATAATTATAAAATGTTTTGTAAATAAAGTGCTAAAGAAGAAGAATAGGGATAATTGTTTTATAAAATGTTTTCGAAGTTCATTATCACCCACACTCAGTCCCATGAATCCATCTTTCACATGTCTTCATTCCACACCACACATGGTGATGTAAGAGACTCAACAACTGGAATGTTAGATTCTATCTTGAACTTCAAGAAAAGGGAGAGAAAAAGGATTCAGCTTTTAGCTCAAACACCAAGGCAGAAGCAAACCAAAGCCACTCTGAGAAAACGATCTGGAACAACATAATAAAAAAAATTCTCAATGCAACTACAGTTAAATAAATAACGCTCTGCCTAAACAGAGAGAGAAGTTTAGGGTCGCAGAAAAGTATCTGACAGGCTGCCAGAGCTTTGGCCACTTTATCAATGGCAGGAAATCATCCCCTGCTGGACACTCAGGCAATTCAGCTGTAGTACAGGGAGACTGTAAGCTTTTCTGGCAGCACCGCTCCCAGAAAGACTGTACTCACTCTGCACGAAGTTTGTAATCTTTCTTTTTCTCCAGCAGGCCCAGATGTTTTCGAAAGCTGGGCTAGAAGACAAAAGGAAAAAAAATGTGCTTAGTTTCCTCAGCAAACACATACCCGAATCAACAGGACACCTGACAGGAACAAGAATCTCTGGAGCGTTCAGTAAATCCATGTCCTGGCAGCCAATGTGCTATCCTGTTCCCTCCCCTCCCCCAACTGGGCACTGCCCAAGGATGAGAGGCCAATGCAGGCGCCAGAGAGGTCACAAGTACTGCCATAGTAGGCTTCTTGGCCTATTAAGGACAGAGAAAGGCAATAATGACTCGGCACTAAGAAAGCAGTTGCCTGTTGTACTAAAATTACTACAGACTTAATCCAAGGGTTTATAAAATACTATGAAGGGAAAACATAGTAACAGGGAAGCAACTGTGGTTAAGAGAGCTAAATTTAGAGTCTGAAGAACTGGGTTCAAATCCAAGCTTTACCTCTTAAAAATCTGTGACTCTGGGCATTTCACTTAACATCTCTGAGCTCCTGTTTCCTAGCTATAAAATAAGAACAATAAGACCTACTTCTCACAACTATCCTGAGGATTTAATGAGCCTCTGTAAGTGGTAGTTGCCCGCACACAGCCTGGCACATAGCAGGTGTCCAGCACATGTGTACTGTTATTATTCTAATTTCAGTACCAAGCATGAGAGAAAACCAAGTATGACAGAAAATACTTTCTCTGATACAGAACTTGGATAGCATGAAGGTCCAAGGTTTAAATCCTGGTATTTATTATCTTTCCACAAGCTGTCACTACTTGAGCACTTAACCTACGGCAAGGCCAGTGCTAGACACTTCTGCCTACATCATCATAATAGGCCACATTTATTAAGAATTACCGTTACATTTTGGGAAAATTTGAAAATATAAAATTAAAAGAAAGAAAAGAAAATCACTATAAAGAATTTGTATGGGGACTTCCTGGTGGCCCAGTGGTTAAGAATCCGCCTGCCGGGCTTCCCTAGTGGCGCAGTAGTTGAGAGTCCGCCTGCCAATGCAGGGAACACGGGTTCGTGCCCCGGTCTGGGAAGATCCCACATGCCACGGAGTGGCTAGGCCCGTGAGCCATGGCCACTGAGCCTGCGCGTCCGGAGCCTGTGCTTCGCAATGGGAGAGGCCACAACAGTGAGAGGCCGGGGTTAGTTCCTTTTCCCTAAAGTTAAAAGGTTGTTCCAGGGACTTCCCTGGTGGCACAGTGGTTAAGAATCCGCCTGCCAATGCAGGGGATCCCTGGTCCGAGAAGATCCCACATGCCGCAGAGCAAATAAGCTCATGCGCCACAACTACTGAGCCTGCGCTCTAGAGCCTGCAAGCCACAACTACTGAGCCCATGAGCCTAGAGCCTGTGCTCCGCAACAAGAGAATCCACCACAATGAGAAGCCCCCACGTCACAACGAAAAGTAGCCCTCACTCAACTGCAACTAGAGAAAGCCTGCACGCAGCAATGAAGACCCTACACTTCCAAATTTTTTTAAAATTAAAAGAATTTGTATGTACTTTTACTTTGCTTTGTAAAATCTAGGAGTTTTGACATTCCCAGAAGGTAAAAAAAAATTCCTGTTCTCTTGTTAGGATGAGTATGTAACATGAGTAAATAAAATTTTTATCAAGGTGAAAAAAAAAGAAATACTGTTACAAAGCAATCTGCTATGCTCCTTACACACAATGTCATTTATCCCCAAATAATCATGTAAAGTGGATAAAGCAGGCACTACTGTTACCCCAATTTTCCAAAAAGGGAATGAGGTTTAGAGAACAACTTGCCCAAGAACATAGAACTAGTAAGTGGCAAAGCTAGAACGAGACCTATTCTATCTGGGGCCACAGTCTGATCTTCCCCACCCTCCTACACTGCATCCTCTTCCACTTTGAATATTCTCGATGTTTGAGGCAGTACATAAACTTCTCTAATGTTTAAACTTGTATAAAAACTTGAGTGGAATTTTTTTAATTTATTTCTTTATTTACTTGTTGGATACATTGGGTCTTCGTCGCTACACGCAGGCTTTCTCTAGTTGCGGCGAGTGGGGGCTACTCTTCGTTGTGGCGCGTGGGCTTCTCATTGCAGTGGCTTCTCTTGTTGTGAAGCATGGGCTCTAGGTGCGTGGGCTTCAGTAGTTGTGGCACACAGGCTCAGTAGTTGTGGTTCGTGGGCTCTAGAGTGCAGGCTTCAGTAGTTGTGGCACACGGGCTTAGTTACTCCATGGCATGTGGGATCTTCCTGGACCAGGGCTCGAACCCATGTCCCCTGCCTTGGCAGGCGGATTCTTAACCACTGCACCACCAGGGAAGTCCTTGGGTGGGATTTTTAACAGTCTCCTCTCTCATCCTCTACCTTGAAGTGATGCAAGAAATAACTCAATATTTAAAATAATACCCAAGCCCTCTCTTGATCATTATTATTTTAATTATAGCATATAAAGAGAAGTTGACAGAGAATAGAGAAAGAAAACTCAAGGGTCAAAAGAGCAACAAAGTGGGCTTCCCTGGTGGCGCAGTGGTTGAGAGTCTGCCTGCCAATGCAGGGAACACGGGTTCGTGCCCCGGTCTGGGAAGATCCCACGTGCCGCGGAGCGGCTGGGCCCGTGAGCCATGGCCACTGAGCCTGCGCGTCCGGAGCCTGTGCTCCGCAACGGGAGAGGCCACAACTGTGAGAGGCCCACGTACCAAAAAAAAAAAAAGAGCAACAAAGTGAGGCAGAAATCTTGAAATTTGTCACGTCCACTTGAATGTACACCTGCCAGGAGGAAGCCTGGCATTGAATCTGAAATAGTTCACGTAATTACCCCCTCCATACCAAGTATCTTCCAGAGCTCCCCCAATGCCTCAGTGAGGACCTATAAGATAAAGTCCAAACTTTACCCAAATAGGCAGTGCTCTCGTCAATGTGTTTACCAACCTTTCCAGCATGGCCTCCTCCTCACCTCTCCCACAAAGACCCTCTATTCCCACTCAGACATGGCCATGTCATGCTCTTTGCCTCTGTCTTCTCTACGAATCCAAATCAACTACCCACAACAGTGCCTTTGGACACACTATTCAACCTCTTTAAGCATCAGGTTCCTCATTTGTATTGATACAAATGAGGATAACATCTGCCTCACAGGAATGCTGTAGGATTATACAAGATAATCCTTGTACGGCATGTTGGGCTATACCTAGCATACAGTCAGTGCTCAAAAAGTGACAGTTGGGCTTCCCTGGTGGTGCAGTGGTTGAGAGTCCGCCTGCCGATGCAGGGGACACAGGTTCGTGCCCCCGTCTGGGAGGATCCTGCATGCTGCGGAGCAGCTGGGCCCATGAACCATGGCCACTGAGCCTGCGCATCCGGAGCTTGTGCTCCACAACAGGAGTGGCCACAACAGTGACAGGCCTGCGTACCGCAAAAAAAAAAAAAAGTGACAGTTACGGGACTTGCCTCGTGGCACAGTGGTTAAGAATCCGCCTGCCAATGCAAGGGACGTGGATTTGAGCCCTGGTCCAGGAAGATCCTACGTGCCGCGGAGCAACTAAGCCCGTGAGCCACAACTACTGAGCCTGCGCTCTAGAGCCCGCGAGCCACAACTACTGAAGCCCGTGCGCCTAGAGCCCGTGCTCCGAAACAAGAGACGCCACCATAAAGAGAAGCCCACGCAATGCAATGAAGAGTAGCCCCCGCTCGCCGCAACTAGAGAAAGCCCACACTCAGCAACGAAGACCCAACACAGCCAAAAATAAATAAATAAAATAAAAATTTTTTTTTAAGTTGACAGTTATTATCATTGCCTTCCAAGTCCAACAAGTTTCACTGTGATGCTTTCTCTCATCATCTCTCTTTTTCCCACTCATGTTCCTTATTGAGCATTTCTGTTTGTTTGTTTTTTATTTATTTATTTATTTTTGGCTGCATTGGGTCTTTGTTGCTGGACGCGGGCTTTCTCTAGTTGCGGTGAGCAGGGCCTACTCTTCGTTGCGGTGTGCGGGCTCCTCATTGCGGTGGCTTCTCTTGTTGCAGAGCACAGGCTCTAGGCGCCCGGGCTTCAGGAGTTGTGGCTCGCGGGCTCTAGAGCACAGGCTCAGCAATTGTGGCACACGGGCTCAGCTGCTCCACGGCATGTGGGATCCTCCCGGACCAGGGCCCGAACCCATGTCCCCTGCACTGGCAGGCAGACTCCCAACCACTGCGCCACCAAGGAAGCCTGTTTGTTTTTTAATTTGGGGTTTTTTTTCCCCTTTCTTTTTTTTTTCCCCCCTCTCATTGGGCATTTTTTTATGCATCTCTTATAAAGTTGCTTCTTTATTCAACTTTTAGTAGCCTCTGGATTCAAAACACTTGGTCTGATCCCTGGCTTTGCTGATTGCCACCTATAGCTGTATGTCTTTGGGCAAATTACTTAACCTATCTGAGCCTCAGCTTCCCCATCTGCAAATGTAAGAAAATAATAGTACCTACTTCCACACACTCTTGAGAGATAAATGAGATAATAAGGGTAAAGCATTTTGCACTTTATCTGGCTCTGGCACACAGCAAGCACTTCTAGCTGTTACTATTTTTAGATAGATCCACACAGGGGTCCAAACAAGGTGGCAAATTATCGATACAATACTCCCAGCACACCACTGAGCATACAGCAAGTGCACAATAAATGTCTGATAAATGCTATCAAGCAGGAAGACTGAACTGTGGTTGGGAGGCCTTAGTTCCATCCCATCCATCAGTGACACAGCTTTAGACACATCCTTCTCTTTCTCTTCCCCATCTGTAAAATGAAATTGCACCAGACATCCCTAAGGGCCTTTCTGGATCAGATATTGTGTGATTCCTGAGAACAGAAGAATAAATTGATTCTGCATATATTAAATGAATTTCCACTCAACCTCTCCACACTGACACACCCTCCACAGAAGTCCTGCAATTGTTTATTCGGTCTGAATTTGGTGTTTGTGACTGGGCAAGTCAATTCTGTTCTCTGGACCTCAGTTTCCTCATCTGTATAATGGGGTTGGAAAACACCAACATTACATGTGAGATATACACAAAAAGCGTACGTGGCAGATCTCCATGGATCTCAAAGCCCAGGCATGATGTTGATAGCACATTAATTAACTCCAATCTCTTCGGGATCAGCCCGCATACACAGCGGACAGGGCTGAGCCTCTTTAGATGTGGATTCCAGTTCCAGCGGGGACACTTATTGGCTGTGTGAACTTTGACCTCAACTTCCCCAGAGAAGATCAGGCACTTTACACACAGTATCTCATTTAACTACTTCAATGAAACCTTGCAAGATAGCTTTGATTATCTCCCAGGAATAGGGACAGCTGTGCTCTCCTAGCTAGAACGACCACCCCCTCCTCCCCGAACCGCGAGGGTCCGCCCCAGCCACGCCTGCGTCGTCAGCATATATTTGCATATATTTACAAGCAACATCTCTGCACAGAAAAGGCCAGGACCCGCAGCTGGAGGGGTGGGCGGTAGGGCCGGGGCGAAAATAGCACATGGGGCCACCGGCCAGCGTTCGTGGGGCCCGTGCGGTCCTACCTGGCTTCGCTCTCTGTGTTCCCGCTGCCGCGACTTAGCCGCTTTCCGAAAAGCCGCCGCCATGTCTGCTCAGTCCTGGAAAAGCTCAGGAGACAACGCCGGTTCCGCGCCGCCTCGTCCACTGACCCTACCGGATATAGGCCAAGCCGCCAGAGGTTTAGAACCGCCCCCTTCCTTTCTTCAGCCTATCCAGCGCCTGCTTTCTCCGGAAATACGTCATCTAGCCAAAGGCGTCCACCCCAGGCTGCTTCTGGGAAGTGTAGTTCTCTAGGTCTAGCCTCGTGACTCTACAACAGCCAGTTCTTATTCGCCAGAGCCTGTACGGTGAGTGCGCCTTCGTGATCCGCTCCGTTGGCACCTGGGAGCACCGTGGCTGGCACTGTCCTTGGGCTGAGCTGAGCCGGGAGTGTGCGCATGTGTAGTCAACTACAGCTCTGCTCCGTTTGCCGTGTTTATGCGGTGTATTTGTATACACTGCTAGGTATAAGATAGGTAACTACTTTAGAACTGACTGTATAGCACAGGAAACTCTACTCAATGCTCTGTGGTGACCTAAATGGGAAGGAAATTCAAAAAAGAGGGGATATATTTATATGTATAGCTAATTCACCTTGCTGTATAGCAGAAACTAACACAATATTGTAAAGCAACTGTACTCCAATTAAAAATAATAATTTTTTTTTTTTTTAAAAAGCTAGGGGCCCTGTGAATTTTCTGGTGTACCCGAAAGAGCACTTTATAGAGAGACAAGCATCCTTAAAACCATGTCTGGCTCTGCCATGTACTGGCTGTGTGACTTTTGACAGGTCGCTTTGATACCGACCAGGGTTCCTGGCCTTCCCCAATCAATAGAAATTGACTAGAGGCCAGATAAGAAATTCAGGCAAGGCTTTTTGGGGCCCCTGCAGGTGCAGGAGGGAGCAAAAACAAGTAACAGGTTCCCTTGCTTGCTCCCGGAACAGTGGGCGTGGCAAGCTGGTTCCTTATATGGGGTGAGGGTAGGGGTGTGTCCAGGGGTCAGGCCAGAGGGGTGGCTTAGGTGTGTTCTGCCCACGCCTTTGTGGTGTTGAGTGCAGCGGGCATGCGCAGTACCCTGCTTTTGCTTCCGACACCTGTTTTTTGCTCCTGGCTCTTCACAAGTGGCAGCTGGGGTTTTTTTTTTGGTCTTTTTGTATCTTTTGGTCCAGAATTTGCCCCAATCGCACATGCACGCAGTTACTTGGCTTTAATGAGCATCATTTCTCTCATCCATAAAACAAGGATAATAACAGCACGCACTGCTCTCCTCATGGGGCCGTCAAGGGGCTCATAGTTGAACAGAGGAGTTATATCATGGCATTAGCTGTAAAGTTCTAAGTCCCTCACACCCTCAAGGTGTGGCTGACAGAATGAGTGTCAGGCAGTACAATGTAACGATTAGGACCGTAAACCATGGAGGTGTGTTTGATCCTAACTGTTACCAGCCAAGACAAAGTTAGCTTCACAGAACCTTAGTCTCCCATGTGAAAAATGGAGGTAAGAATACTATACCTACAGGATTGTTGTGAGGATTAAATGAAATAATATGTTTAAAGTCCTTAATACTGTGTTCACACATCTGCAAGTTCACTATCAATTAGAGCTATTATTGTTAGTATTACTAAACCTACCTGTAAGGATTGAGAAAGGGTTGAGCACAGCAGAACATTCCAGAGGCATTTGGCTTCTTTTCCACCACGTGAAGCTAAACTTCAGCAAGTTCTGTAACTGCACCCATTTCTCATGACAGTGCTCATCTCTCCAGCTGAGGACCTCTGGAGAAATCCTCTCCTCAGTCCCTAGAGGTGTGAATCCAGTAGGCCAGTGGGCATGTAAAAGCTGAAAGTAGCTGAGATCTGCTATGTGAAAAGTTTTTTCCTGCCTCTGAGTCTGAGCCTTGCCCAACTAAGGCCACATGCATTAGCAAAATTCCGTCTTATTTGTTACTTAACCATTGAAAGACAAGGCCCTTCATGATCTGGCCCATGCCCATATTTCCAGCCTCATCTCATTTAAGAAGCCCAGCCATCAGACTAGATGGCAGCCCTAGTAGCTCCTGCCCCTTCCCCTGAAGAAGGCATTGAGTGGCAGGGATACCCGGGAGAAGGCAGCTCTGCACACTGGAAGTGGGGGTGGGCCTTCAAGTCAGCCCCAGATTTGAATTGCACCTATCAGCTTGTGACTTAGGGCCACCTTGTCAAACTCTCTGAGCGCCGTGTACTCCTCTGTAAAATAGTAATAGTAATAATAACCACCTCACGTGGCTTTTGTAAGAACTGAAGGAAGTAATGACTGCCACTTAGCACGGTGCCCTGCGTGTAGTTGGCATTTAAGCATAGGTTAGTTCTCCCTCTATTCTTCCTCCCCCATGCTCTGTAGCAGTCACTCATTTTACCCTCTGCACCCACAGACCCATTGCCAGGCTTGGGGTCACTAGGCAAGTGTTTCTGGGCAATCTGAAAGCGGGTGTCTGCTCAGCTAGGAGGCCTGCACGGGCTGTAGGCAGACCAATGGGTAAGAGTGAGCAATACACCAGAAAAGCAAGGGAGTTTTCTCACTGGGGGAAGGAGAGCTTGTGGTTACAAGCATCAGAGAGTGATTCAGCACCCAGAGGAAACCATGAGAGTCTTGCCAGTCATCAGTCCCCCAGGGCCTCCTTTTGTAAACCCTTCCAAGGTGAGAGAACAGCTGGGAGACCCTGAACAAGATAAGGAAGGGGGGTGCCTCCAGGGTGAGGGAAGGGACAACCAGATCCCACTCACCCAAGGCCAGTCAGCCAGCGCTCAGGCTCTGCTTCCAGCCCCAGTCAGACACACCTGTTCCCTGAGAAGGGGGGAGGACTGATGGGAAACAGAAACAGGGAGTCCATGAGGCTGATCCCTAGACCTTCCTGGGGCACGTCCACATGGGTCAACGGAAATTAGAGCACGCGGGGAAATGTGAGCCTACTGGGGAGCTGGAAATGGGGAGGGGAAAGGATACAGCCCCTGCCCTACACCAGTCTCCCTCTCTCAGGCTGGGCCAAGTCAAAAGTCTCCTAACTTTTCTGGGCCTCCAGACTCTAAGTCCAAGAAGCAGAATCTTAACACTTGACCAGGAAAGAGAGTGTTGGAGTGGAGGGAGTGTCCCACATGTTGAATACCTACTGTGTGCTTTCATCCAATCCTCACAAGAATGGTGTGACACAGGGAGTCCCCCACTCTGAACAGATGAGAGACTGAGGCTTCAAGAGGTTAAATGACTACAGAGGCGATAGAGCCTAATGATTAAGCTCTTTTTTTGGCATAAGGAGCTTTGACATTTGACTGTCTGGATTTGAATCCAGGCTTTTCTATTGTTAGCTGTGTCACCCTTGGCAGGTTACTTACTCTCTCTGTGCCTCCATGTTCTCATCCTTAAATCAAGGATAAAAATACATATTTCACAAAGTTGTTGGAAATCAAGTGCATTAATATATGTAAAGTGCTTAGGCAGGGACTGGTGCAAAGTAAGAACTCAGGAAATATTGGCTCTTATTCAGGCAGCTCATCGGAGATTCAAGCCGTGAGTAAAACCAGAGACCCCAAATCACTTTGCTGTACAGCAGAATTAACACAACATTGTAAATCAACTGCACTTCAGTTAAAAAAAAGAAAAGAGACCCCCCCCCAACCCTACCTTTGATCCAGCACCTTCCTTACTCACTCATAACTCCTCCCTTTCTGAAGGATGCTCACCTTTGCCCTCCCCTCACCCCAGAGCAAACCCCTTCTTGCCATCTCCTTCAGCCAGGCAGTCTTCCCTGCACTCCCCTGGGCTAGGAGTCTCCTATGCCTGCAAGGCAAATTCCAGAGCAAGGCCCACCCATGGGCTGGCTGCCCCCTCCCTGGGCTCCAGATAGCATGTGCCTGTGGTCCAATCTGGGGTGAGGGAGTCCAAATGGAAGCAGTGTCCATCATTCATTCATTCATCAAATATTTATTACGTGCCAGACATTGGAGTAGGTACTGAGAATGCAGTGGTGAACCAGAAGTACGAAGTCCCTGCCCTCATGGCACTTACAGTTTAGGCATCAGGAACAATGATAATATGGAATTAGTTAATTTTGAAAGGAAACCTGGCCTCAAGTGTGACTTGGGACCCAGGAAGGTAGGCGTGTGATTCAGAAGTGGGAGAGGAGGGTACTCAGCAGCCCCAGCCTGGGAGGGAATAAGTCTCTGCTCTGAGAGCTTGGCTGGACCCAGCCTGTGGGATGGGAGAGCCTCTGTGGGCACCTGAATCTCTACTCTAGACTCTGAGGAGGTTATTTCCAGGGTTGGTTTGCTGTCTCTTGTTTTGCTAACAGCACAGCAGAGCCTCCTCCTCCCTCCCCCACCCTTCCAGATCGAGGCTATTTATTCCTAGTGACAAGCCTGAGGATCCCAGGGGCAGTGGCCTCAAGGACCTGGAGGGGCCTTGTGTCCCTGGCAGACGCCAGTCCTCCCGCCCGGGCAGGGCACAGGGAGGAAGCCAGAAGGTTGGAAACTGTAGAGGTCGGAGAGGACTTCCCTCCACCGCCCCTGCAGCGCCCCATCCTTGCACACTCCTCACACCCCTTCCTGAGAAGCTCAAAAATCATGGGGCCAAAGATTAGGGTCTCCCCTAGGCCTCAAAGGTCAAAACTGTTCCTAGGCACTGTGGAGACCAAGGGAGGATTTCTCTGTCCCACGATGCAGCTGGAGGTGAGGTGGTTACTTCTGTTTTCACCACTCAGGGTTGTGGAATAAAGCCCTTTGAAGGTCAGGGCCCTATAGAAGGGGCCCTTGGACTTCACTCCTTGTTTCCACAGAACACCTTCATTCCCACTGACAGGGCCGCGACAGCAGGGTCAAAACCACCCCCTCCAACAGGCTGGAATAAGTCCTCTTTTACAAATTAGGGCTGAGTGTGATCCCTGGGGGTAAACGGCGAGGGGGCGGGGACACGAAATGGGCATGAGGACTCTCTGGGTCCCCAAATGGACCTTGGTCGGCTGCCTCCTGTATCCCTTGCCTGAGACTGAATACAGCTAGCCGCTGGAGACTGGGGTGGGGGGAGGTAAGGAGAGTGGGGAAAGAGAGGGAGGACAGCAAAAGCTGCAGGGAGGGGACAGGGGCGGGGTCTTGGC